CCTGTTGTCAAGCATGGTGGACCAGCTGAGACTATTGATGCGTCGCTCATATCCAGCCCGCTTTGGCCTCATGTACAACGCATGCGACTAACAATTTCACAACGTGATCGAAAGGACGCCGCGTACGCTGCTTTTGTTCGAAATATCGGTATAGGAACACAAGCCCACACAACAGACGACGGTATCGATGCAGTGCCGTTAGCATATATTAATGAAGTTCCGGACAGCCCGAAAGATCAGTTTGTCATCGACAACACGGACTCATTCGAAGAACTAATTGACTTTGTTTACCAAGATATTCTCACCGCCGACCCTACCGACTTCAAGGCGAGAGCAATTTTGTCGTCGACAAATGCCACAATTGACTTAATCAACTCCCACGTGCTTGACATTCTGCCCGGGGACATGCTAACGGCATATAGCTGTGACACAGTTGACCCTCACGATAATAACCTTGACTTCGTTGCTACGGCTGATCTCAACGCAATCGACGTTTCAGGCGTGCCGCCACATGCATTGGAGTTGAAGTTAAACTGCATGGTCATGATAACACGGAACCTCAATTTCAAGCAGGGTTTGGTCAACGGTCAAAAGGCTATAGTGCGTGGTTACTCAACACGGATTGTGCATGTAGAACTCCTTGATGGACTGTCCTCTCTAGTTCTGATACCGCGTATACGTCTTAATGCAAAAGTTGGGCGGAACGGGATCGCTTTCTCGAGGTTGCAGCTGCCGCTTCGCGTTTGCTATGCCCTAACGATCAACAAGAGTCAAGGTCAAACTCTGTCCAAAATCGGGCTTGACTTGCGGTCAGACGTTTTCACGCATGGGCAACTCTACGTAGCACTCAGCAGGGCGCAGAAGCGATCGTCGATTATGTGCCTCACATTACCCGCGAGGTTGCGTGGTTCCCTAAACCGTACTGCATTTGTTGCCAACATTACCTTTCCAGCTTTCGTTAACGCTGCAACTGACACCATCACTGACTCACCGCCTCTAC